CCCCACCCCAAGTTCAGTCCACAGGCAGAGCCGCTCCCCCCCCCCCCCCCCCCCCCCTAGAAAAAACACACCTTCCCGCCAGCGCCGCCGCTCCCAAGCGCGCGCCCCTGCCCTCCCTCACGAGCCCCCTCCACGCCACGAACGCCTCGAGGGCGGCGCGACCTCTCGCCACCCCGAGCAGCCTCCGGGCCGTTCGGTGCGCCCTCGTCCTCGTCGCCAGCCTTCCCGCCGCCACGGCCGCCTCCGCCCTGCTAAGCCTCAAGCCGGACCGCCTCTCCGCGGAAGCCGTCGCCGCCGCCCTGAGCATGGCGCCCCAGCCCCTCGCCAGCTGGCGCAGGCTGCAGCGCCGGTCGAGGGAGAACAGGGCCCGGCGAGCCCTTCGGCGCAGCGAGGCGTTGGACCTTAGAGTGGAAAAGCAGGTTCGGACGGCTCTTTGGCGCTTCGTGCACGCGGCGATCTCGGCGTGGCGATCCGAGTGGGAGGAAGCGGCGGAGAGCCTGGCCCAGATGCTGAAGGCGCTGGCCAGTTGCAGCCGTCCTGTTGTGTTTTACGCAATAGCGAGCGGCGGGGTGGGGGGTACTCATTTTCAGTATGCCGTAGTCATCAGACCATAAACCTTACATCTCTACAATGCCAGGACGGAGCACGCTCGGTTTTCGCCGGACCAGGCTCGCGTTCACCAAGCGCGAAGCGCCGAGATGTGATATGCGAGTCGGAGGTGCGAGATGCCTCGTGATAAGGGTCCTCCGCCCAATCCGTACTAATTTGATCTTGCAAATTTCTGGCGTCGCCACTTCCAGAGGTGGACACAGGTGTCACGTCTTGCTAACACGATGTGGCACAAAGAAACCACCCATTGTGTGTCGAAGATTGGAAGGGGGGGGAGACGAGCGGGCGACGTTGAAGTCCGGGCTTCCTTGGTGAGATTGATTGTCGTCAAAGTGGACAAGTTGCCAAAACCGTTCGATCGTCCACACCTCACGGTTCGTTGTTGCCCCCTTTCGTCCCCCCCCTGTGTTTGCCATCGGGGTTGGGTTTTCGTCGCTTGGCACCGACGTTGTAAAACAAGCCCCCCCCTCGGTGTTTGCCATCGGGATTGGGTTTTCGTCGCTTGGCAACGACGTTGCAAAACAAGCCAATAGACTACTAATTTTTCGGCCTGAAACATTCCGAGAACGACCCAGTCGCAGGCTATTTCAGCGGCCCCCAGCGATGCCGGTTCGCAAAACAAAATTTTCCTCTTTTATAAAATCTCCAAATTTCAAAAAATACATACTACTTGTACTACAGCAGTACACACAGCTCTAGTCTACATCGACTAGTCACCGGTACCTACTTACATACATCTGCATACACACCGGTATACCCTGTGCACAGCACAACCAACCTCCTCCGATGGCAAGAAACTGCTGTGTATATGCTCAAGTAGAGCCTGTCGGGAAGCTGGTGGCATGGCCAGCCTTACCCTACCGTCGGATGACCGGAGGGCGAGATGACTGAGATGCTTACTTTGGCGGCCGAACAGAACTACACGAAGCTTGGCGGGCGGGCGTCTCTCGATCATGTCTCCCCAAGAACACCAATTGAAAGGCAACAAGCCGAATCAGGGCAGTGGCGGTTGCCCTCCGATTGTTCGCGGACGCAAGGAAGGGTGTGCTGTCCCAGATCAGACGGACGGGCAGACAAGGGAGGCGACAGCAGGAGGAGCCTTGGGCGGCCGAAGCTCGGTGTGCTGCCTGGGAAAACGAAGCCTCGAGGCAAGGAGCTGGGGCATCGGACTTGCTTGATAAATTGCGGCTGTAGGACGAAGGACGATGTCATCTCTTCACTGAGAATAATAATGTTGCTGGTGCGGGGTATGGTGAGAACGACGGCAGGCAGGCGTGTGGAAGGCACAGAGTCGGGGGGGGGGGGCAGGCGGGAGGGGAGATTCAACCACACGCATCCTGAAGCGGTTGCAGCCAAGCGCAGAGCGCGTAGTATCTGTGGTCCCGTAAGAGCACCGTCGCTTTTGGAGCGTGTTCGTGCGTAACCTAGAGGGGCTCGCGGCGTCCGGGAATGTGTTCGACAACGCTACCGTCGCTTGTGATGTGGGTGGCGACCATTATTGAAGCGAAACAAGGAACATAACTTCGGAGTGAAGAGATGACATCGTCCTTGCTTCGTCCTTCAGCCGCAATTTATCAAGCAAGTCCGATGCCCCAGCTCCTTGCCTCGAGGCTTCGTTTTCCCAGGCAGCACACCGAGCTTCGGCCGGAGCTTCGGCCTTCCGAAACTTCTCCAAGGCTCCTCCTGCTGTCGCCTCGCCTTGTCTGCCCGTCCGTCTGATCTGGGACAGCACCCTTCCTTGCGTCCGCGAACAATCGGAGGGCAACCGCCACTGCCCTGATTCGGCTTGTTGCTTTTCAATTGGCGGTCTTGGGGAGACATGAACGAGAGACGCCCGCCCGCCAAGCTTCGTGTAGTTCTGTTCGGCCGCCAAAGTAAGCATCTCAGCCATCTCGCCCTCCGGCCATCCGACGGTAGGGTAAGGCTGGCCATGCCACCAGCTTCCCGACAGGCTCTACTTGAGCATATACACAGCAGTTTCTTTGCCATCGGAGGAGGTTGGTTGTGCTGTACACAGGGTATACCGGTGTGTATGCAGATGTATGTATGTAGGTACCGGTGACTAGTCGATGTAGACTAGAGCTGTGTGTACTGTAGTACAAGTAGTATGTATTTTCTGAAATTTGGAGATTTTATAAAAGAGGAAAATTTTGTTTTGCGAACCGGCATCGCTGGGGACCGCTGAAATAGCCTGCGACTGGGTCGTTCTCGGAATGTTTCAGGCCGAAAAATTAGGAGTCTATTCACTTCGTGAACTCGGCAACTAGGTTACAGGGGTTTTTTTTACCGCGTTTTTTTTTTTTTCAGTAACCACAAAGGTGGTCGAGTAGATCATGTTGTGCGGGGTCGAGAAACCTCACTCCGCGCAAGGGGGATGATCGCACCACGTTGTGTTAAAATGGTAAAGCATCCTCGAGGCAGTTACACAGTGCTTCTAACTGTCTCTGGAAGTGAAAGCACCAGAAAATAAATTAAGTCATACGCAGCTGTCATCCGTACGCAAGGAAGTAAGCACAAGATGCCGAACACCCTTAATTTAGCAGGATGCAGCGCGCCCTTCATGCGACTCGCCGAATACCTCACGGCGCTTCGCGCTTGGTGATGTGAGAGCCTGGTCCGGTGAGAACCCGGCGTGCTCCGTCCCGGCTTTGTAGGGATGCGAGGTCAATGGTCTAACGACTACCGCATGCACGACTGATGAGTACACCCCTCCCCCCCCCTCTAAATATAACAAAACGAATCAATCTCTATCCATAGTTGATGGTCCAGGATAAAACTAGCAATTAAACCATAACGTTAGCCCCTTTCCGCTCCCCTTGCAAAAGGCAATGCCGCCTGTCCGACGCATTATGTACCAACCTAGCGAGGACCCAACAGAGTGTCCATCGTTTGTCCCCACCCCGTTCTATGTGAACTCACCTGGTCGCTTCCGGACGGCCCTCAACCTCGCGCAAGCGCCCGATATGTCAGCGGCTCTCCTCGTTTCGTTCACGGCCGCGACTCTCCACGCCAAGAACGCCCCATGCTGCTGCCGCTTCTCGAGGCTCCTCACCGCCCGCGCCGCCCGCCAGAACGTTGCGGCGAAGCGGCGGCGGCGTCTCGCCCCTTCTGACCACGCTCTGAGGGTTCTGTAAGCGTTGTTGGTTTCGAAGAAAGAAAGAAAAAGACACCGCGGGAGGTTGGACGCGGGGGTGAGGAAAATATACAACGGTGATGCCCGTAGTGGTCTGTGTGTGCGTGCACGAGGGAGTGTTGCGCTGGAAGGAGGCCAGAGAGGAGAGAAGACTCAGTCACAGTTGGTGAGGGGCGAGGAAAATCACGGTCGCAACGAACCTGGGGAGGGGGGTCTGGAAAACACGTTGGACTCCCGTGAAAACCAGATCACGTCCGGGGGCGCGGCAGACAAATTCGACGGAAGCGTAGAATCGTTCTGTCGACCAAGGAATGCGCGGCACACTGCCAACACATCCTGCCTTGACCGCGACTTCTGAAGAGACTAACCGACAACCAACGTGAGAGCAAGACACGCCTAAAGCTTAAGCGTTGTAGCGATTTCATCGGGTTCGTGCCTACAGCCCACCGCCCCCACCTTACTTTATGATCCATCCATCACAGCTCATTCCCTTCCTCGGACTCACGTTTGCAGTAACTTCCGGCGCGCGTTTCTGGTGACTACCCTCTCCACCATCTCCAGGGTCGCGGCGTCCCTCGTCTCATCCCTCCACGAACACAACGCCTCGTGCAGAAACCCGTCATGTCTTCGGCGCACCAGCTTTACCAGGCACGTCTTCTTCCTGTGATGGATTCGGGGGAGGGGGGCACACGTGGGGGCAGGGGGGCGGGGGGTATTCGCTATCAGCATGTCATAGTCACCAGGCCACAGACCTCGTGCCCCTTGAAGCAGGGACGGAGAACGCTGTTTGGTCGCCTTGTGTGGCAGGCTCGATTTATTCATCAATAAGATCCTCGCAGTGGCTCTGCGGAGGCGATATCGGGGTTCCGCCACCCAGGGGTCTTGCACTGGTTTCAGAATGAAAACAACGAATTCCCAACTTGACACATGCTCGACCTTTGCGTTCTATGAAGTGCACCGCCTCCTATCATTTTCCAGGGAATGCAACGCAAAACGAAAACGTGTTAATTGTGGTTATGCCCAAGGTGGCAAATGCGTGATGCAACTGCTGTTGGCGTCGTCAGATGGTACTTGCAACAAAACTGTATGGTTACGGTAGTACAGTAGGGCAAAGAAATTTTGACAGTCCCGGGCTGGTTTCCCTCGTGTATACCGTCAAATGCGTCCAACCAACTCAGGTTAAAACGTGGCAAGGATATCGGATATATTATGTATGTTCCCGTCCCATGTACGATTCTGGGCGCCAGCCTACACCTTCGGTATATGTTTGACGCACCAATTCTCGACCTTTCCTCGTGCAATGCTCGCCCATAATATGGTCCACCATTTCGCTGTGTGTACTCGCGTACTCACGACTGTGCGGAGATCCTCTTCATGAAGGATACATGTAGAGTCTCTCAAAATTCTGTGGTTGACAATTCTCTCGTTTCACACGAATAAATGTCTGATTTTTGAGGACGAGAAACCGGGTTCAAATCCCGCCACCCGCCATATTTCCAAGAGACAAACACTCGTTTCACACGAACAAATGTCTGGTTTTTGAGGACGAGAAACCGGGTTCAAATCCCGCCACCCGCCATATTTCCAAGAGACAAACACGGAAAGAAATATCGAACATGTGGAACTGCTGATGACACGGCTGATTCAGGCAACCCGTGTAACCACGCACAAAAGATCGTGATGAAGTGAATCCACTCACCACCAGCCCATCGAATTCCCGTTACCCCCAGAAATCTTCTTCTTGCCTACAGTAGTGGTATTGCTCCACAATTTTTGACCGGTGAACCGAAGAAAAAGAAAATAAGCCATTTCTGAACGCTCGTGACCAGACGCTTGAGAGTTAGACGCTTGAGAGAAAATATATATATATACATAATATATATATGGCCCATGCCGAGTTTCGATCTCCGTCAAGTAGCAACCAAGAAGACTCGAAACAAGGGGGGGATAATGTGGAGATCCCCGCTCATATGCATAAAGGGTAGAATCTCCCCAACGTCTGTCGAGGATGAACCATTGCCTTTTTTTTCACAAAAATTCCGGGAAAAAAATACAAGAGGATTTCCTTTTGCAGCTAGACTTACAAACAGCATTATGGAATGCCATGAACAGGACCCCCGGCAGCAACAAGTACCACTCTGATCTGGAATAAGTGGCCGATATAGGACCCTTTGCTGTATGACCATTGCTCACCATCGAGTATTCACACGCGGGTTCGAGTCCCGGCAGCGCCGTCTTTATCACCATAAGTTTTTTTTTCCATTTTTTCTCATATTTTTCCCTGTCATATATTGCGAGCTTATTTTTTTTTGTATCCTTTGCTACAAGACCAAACCAAGTTGTACTTTTCGAAGTATAAGGGTGTTTTCGGTTGGCTGAAACACTCACCAACCACGAAAAAAAACTGGAGTGGGCGGTGGATGCAAAATGACCCAGAAAATTGACCAAATTTCCATGGAAAAGACCCCGTACCCCGGGGGAGGGGACGTTTGAAAGGCATCCCCGGGGTCTTCCATCCAATTTCTCTCATTATTTTCATCCCCGACGTGCCCCCAGTGACATTATTTTTCCAACAGCTTTTGCGAAATGGCTCATTTGCGAAACTGGCCACTTTTATGCATATTACCGATCATCATCCGTATCGGCCACTTGTTCCTGATCTGTGGTATAATAACAATAGACCCTATGGTCCTCATTATGATTCTGCTGGGACTCTGGACAAGTCGCGAAGACAAATACAACAAGGTATACATCCATCCTTCGGATGCCGCATTTTTTTCGAATTCGTGCGCAAAATTTGGGGATCCCACTCGAAAAGCTCGCCGAGAAGTTTTTTTAGAAATTTTTGAGAGTTTGATCCTGAACCAGCTTGTAGGCATAACAAAGGTCACTTCGTTTGTGTGTGTGGCTGGGGGGTTGTTGGTTGGTGCGCGTTTTGAGATTTTGGTGAAAAGGGGACTTCTTCTGGTTTTCGGTGTGTCCTCAGCGCCCGGGTAACCGGGGCGGGACACGGTGGGTCTCGACAAATTAAAAGAAAAATTGCCACTGTGATCGCTGTTCACGGGTTCGTTTCTATACCATCAAGGCTCCTAAACTCACCATTTTGGTCTGCGCCAACGTGAAAAAATCCCGTGAAAGTGAACAACAGCGGGAATTGTCGTGTGCCGCCCGTGAAACAGCGAAATATGCGGAGGCTCGAGGTCTTTGATGTTGTGCGGGATCTTCCGACAATATATACAATTGCACACCGGGGACGCTAAGGAAAAATCCCCTGTTTTCCCCAAAAATTCTAGGAAACCCTGTGTTATAGTCTATATATTCCATACATTGAACAAGAGGCTTTATTTTCAGGGTATAAATCCCACATTATATGAGGTGTATAGGGTTACGTGTGACCATACTAAATCCTATACAATAGAGCATCATATATAGGTGTTATAACTGTGCGCCACTAAATCCACATAAACATAGGGTTATGTGTAACCATACTAAATCCTTATACAATAGAGCATCATATATAGTTTTTACAATACCAGCCTAAATCTACAAGAAATGTACCATGTCTAAACGCGTTTAGTACGGGGTGTACAAGTCTACGTACAACACATTTTTTCCTGTACGATACCCCACGTAATAAGAAGCGTATAAGGTTTTGTGTGACCATACTAAATCCTATACAATAGAGCATCATGTATAGGTTTTACTATACCACACTAAATCTGCACAGAAACGTACAATTTTCTAAACGCATTATGTACGGGTGCACAAGTTTATGTATACAATACTAAATCCTATATAATACACACCCCCATTGTCCCCCCCGGTGTTTTGCCATCGAGATTGGGTTTTCGTCGCTTGGCAACGACGTTGCAAAACAAGCCAATTCACTTCGTGAACTCGGCAACTAGGTTACCGGGAGTTTTTTGCCGCGTTTTTTTTTTTTTGCGGTAACCACAAAGGTGGTCGAGTAGATCATGTTGTGCGGGGTCGAGAAACCTCACTCCGCGCAAGGGGGATGATCGCACCACGTTGTGTTAAAATGGTAAAGCATCCTCGAGGCAGTTACACAGTGCTTCTAACTGTCTCTGGAAGTGAAAGCACCAGAAAATAAATTAAGTCATACGCAGCTGTCATCCGTACGCAAGGAAGTAAGCACAAGATGCCGAACACCCTTAATTTAGCAGGATGCAGCGCGCCCTTCATGCGACTCGCCGAATACCTCACGGCGCTTCGCGCTTGGTGATGTGAGAGCCTGGTCCGGTGAGAACCCGGCGTGCTCCGTCCCGGCTTTGTAGGGATACGAGGTCAATGGTCTAACGACTACGGCATGCACGACTGATGAGTACACCCCCCACACACACACTGTCCAAGTACGGGGTCAAGGAGAAAATGTGCAGAGTGCTCAAGAAGATGACAGAGTTTACGAAAAGCGCGGTCATGCTAGACGGAGAAGAGTCTAAATTCTTCGACATTGAACAGGGGGTCCCACAAGGTTGCACGCTGTCCCCGACATTGTTCCAGGTGTTCATCAACGATCTGTTTGAAGTCGTAGAGGCAGTCCGGAAGGGAGTAAAAGTAGGGGACACGGAAACTTCGGTGTCAGGAATGCTGTTTGCGGAAGATTTTGTTGGTATGTCGGACACCCCTGAGGGACTGCAACTGCAAATTGACGCGGCGAAGAAGTTTACGGATAAGTGGAGATTGTCTGCCAACGTTAAGAAGAGTGCCGTCATGGTATGCAACGAGGACAGGGAGGAACCAGTAGAATATAGATGGAAGTGGGGGATCGAGGAGATTGCAGTAGTGGACCAGTACACATGCCTCGGAGTAGAGATCGCAAAAGACTGCTCGTGGAATGCACACATGTCCAAGGTAGCGGAAAAGGGCAAAGCACGAGCAGGGAAGCTGCACCCAATACTCGCAAACCGGCACCTCGATACACGCATCAAATTGACGGTTTTGAAGAGCGTAATCGTACCGCCGCTAGAGTACGCCGGAGAAGTATGGGAAGGAATAAGAAGGTAGTGAAAGAACTCGAGGCGGCACAGATGAAAGCAGCGAGAATCATCCTAGGATTCTCCAAGCGCACAAGTAATGCAGCCGCCAGGGCAGATCTGGGGATCCAATCCCTACGGTCGGGAAGAGACGCAAGGAAGTTGACATGGCAGTATCGCATGTGCGGGATGGGAGAGGAGAGGTTGCCGAGAATAGTATGGTAGGCGAAGTGGGCAAACAAAAAGAGGGGTAGACAACCCACGGAATGGGTCAAGGTTGTAGAGGACGTATGGAAGGGGTTAGACATCGACGAAGATGAAATGCTGGAAACGGAGGGTCTACAGGGGTTCAAGGAGAAGATACCTGTTGCCTGTGCCGAGAAGAAGAAGAACAGAATCTAAGGAAAGAAACCGAGGATAAGGAGGGTCTAGAAGTGTACGGAATGTTGAAAGAAGGAAAAGTGTTCAAGGATTACCTACATGGACCAATGGATGCAGGGACAAAGCTTAGGGTCAAATTCAGGACCGGGGACATAGGCCTTCGAGAACGTCGACGAAGGCATAGGACGGTAGACGACGAAGACGACAAGCTCAACTGTGATTGCGGCTTCGAGTGCGAAGACCGTGTTCATGTAGTCGCGGAATGTCAGCTGTACAAAAAGGAGAGGGAAGTGTACATGACTGAGCTGGGAAAAATACAAGGGAGGTACAGGGAGATGTTTGAGGCATGGAATAGAGAGGAGAAGACGGTAGCTGTACTAGGGAATAGGAAGTGGTTTGAAAAGGCGGGAAGTGATATCGTTAGGATAGATAGACTAGGGATGGCACTTTTGAGCCACCTTTGGCAAAGTAGGAAAAACGATTGGCCATCGGTGATCGGTCGTGTGGGAACAATGCTCCGTCCTCTCAAGGACGCGTGGTCAGTGGTCTAACCGCTAAGGCATGCAAAACATATGAGTACGCCCCTCCCCCCCCCCACTGCTCTCGATTTGGCGGCTAGGGGCAATGCACCACGCATTTCCTGAGCCCCTAGAAGCAGGAAACTCAGCCCAAAAAAACTGGATTAAATAATTAAATCAGGAGAAAGAGGGTGGGGCTATTGTATTGGTTGTAGTGTGGAATAATAACCAATATGGTATTGGTTGTAGTGTGGAATAATACCCAATATGATAACCAATATCCTCTCGTTGTATAGGAATTAGTATGGTCATATGCATGCTTAACCCTATACACCTCTCTGTATTATATTTACTTCTATGTGGGTATAATAATGTGATACAAAAGCCTATTATGCATATTTAAGAAAACTTCTGTGTAGGTTTTACTACGACCACACTAAATCCTATATGCTTCGGTATAAACCAAGCTGGATAAAGAGCACGAAAACACGCGAGAGAGGAAGAGGGAACTGTGCTTCCTGGATTGCCGCCCGTTTGCCCTCAGGCAACCCTCAGCAAGAGAACACGCGGATGTTTAAATATTGAAGCACTGCCCGTATTTCAGTATGGTTGCAATCGAACCTTTATCTTCTAATTGAAAGTATTTTGCATCAACCTTAGTGTCACAGTATAATTCCAATACAACAAGAGTTGAACAGTTTTCCTATACCACACTATATCCTGTATGATAGACCCCTCACCCCATCCCGGATTTGGTCCATAATCGAATTGGGGCAGTCCATGCACAACAATTTGTCCATTCACGTTTAGACTAAGAGTGATAACGTTTTGAAGCAAAGAAACTGAAACGCGAAGCAGCGATATTCGTGACCGCCTCGTCGAGCTACGACGATAATGATCAATATTGATATTTCGATATTTCAACCCGCGTGTTATCCAACCCTAGTGTGGTGGGGTTCCGTCAGTTCCACCGAGTTACCGCAGATAAGTTTGTTGCTCGACCAAAAGCCTGATGGATATCACATCAAGCATGGGCGTATGAAAGCCAATCAACCCTACGTCTAGCAGCAAGACGCGCGTGCCTGTAGTAGTAAACTGAATCCTTCTTGACGCCCATACTGGAAGTGCTGTAAATCGAGATGAACACCTGCATACATCCAATAACCCTGCAGCAGTTTTTTCTCACATGATGCCCAAGCAAAAAAAAAAACGATTATTAGTGTGTACCGAAAATTCGACTGCGCGGTCGACGAGGGTAGGGGACAGCTGAGTCCGTTTTGCGACAAAAATAGAGGCAAGCAACGCAGGAGGAAGGTGGAGGAAAGACATGTAATCATGTGTCGCTTTCCTGAGGCTGGCGTGTCCCAACATCCCGAACGGTGTTAGAAACCGGAGTTTCAGCAGAAATGGGGATGGCAGAACACCCCCAACCACACGCGGTGACTGTATCAAAACATGTTTGACTTTCAACCCCCCGCCAACAAAACTGGGTCTAAAAAGCTCCGAACGGTGAGACGGCTGTAACAAATGTTCCGATAAAAAAAAGAACTGTTTCTCGATTCGCCCAAATTAGACTGGTTCCAATACGAAGAAACCCGTGTCGCATACGTGATGGCCACAAAGAACAAACAAGCCCCCCTTTTTGCCTCCGCCGCCTCTCCGGCCGAAATATCGATCACCCCCCCCGTTCATCCCCACCCACCTCTGTTCGGCTTGCGCGACCGCCTTCCAAGCCGCGAAGCACTCCCGCCCGAACGCCAGCCGCTGCCGCCGCGCCAGCTCCTTCTCCACCTTGGCCCGCTGCCGCGCCGCCCGGTGTATCTCCTCGGTGGCCTCGATCAGCCTAGAGCCCATCCCGTCCCGCTCTCGCCGCATCTCCTCCGTCTCCAGCTTTGCGCTAGACACTATCATCGCCTGCAAGGGTAATGATGGTGGGGGGGTGTCGTCGTCAATGTTACCGCAGCAGCAAGCGGTGGCGGCACTCTCAGTTTGATCTTTGTCAGAAGAGGCTACATTGGCTGGGGAACGGACACGACAGGTGTGCCGTACCTGGGTTACTATCGTGAGACGCGGACCGGTAACGTTATTGGCATGCGCTGTGCCCTCGTTGGATGCATGTGTTTTGATCACGTCCTGTTGCCGCACCCGCCTTCTTCTCCTCACTGAAGGCTGCTTTAACACTCCTCCCCACCCACCGCCAACTTCAACAAACTCAAAACCCAGAAACCAACATACCCTCCCCCACCCACACACCCCCAACCTCACCGCCTCTTGGCGCTCCTTCTCCCTGGCCGACACCCCCAGCCGCCGCAGCCCCTCCCTAAGCGCGGCCGTCCTGCAGGCCCTCCCCAGGTGCCACAGCTTCCGGGCGGCCTGCGCGCGCCATCTTCTCCCGTCCCTCCAGGCGACCAGCGCGCCGCGGACCGCGCGACGGTTTCGCGCGAGCAGGAACGAGCGGGCGGAGCGGAGCTGGATGCGGCGGGACACAGCGTAGGCCTTCCACGCCATGAGACACCTACATGGTATACGCAATACGGACATTCATATATAGGGCAAGCGTTTCTAATTTTAGTGTATTGAACTGACGGAAAATCATAATAGAAAAGAGAAAGAATGATTAGAATGATGAAATCACCTCATGAGAAGGTTCCTCCTGGCAGCCGACGCCAACCTTCCACTGAGTACCCGCCTGCACCGCTCTCCCGCCTTGCGCGTTGCCAGGGTCTGCTGGCGGGTGCACTCCTCACGCCTTGAAACATTTCCATTTTCAATACGGGAAAAAAGCTCGTTGTGAAGAGGAGCAGGGACAGACAGACAGACAGTGCCGTATTTCCTAGCCGAGACTTGAACATTCCAGACGCGCCATTTCCCCCCGATAGGTTGGCATCACAGAAATGGACAGCATGTCGAACACCACCAGCCGAACCAGGTAAGCGGTTACGTTGCACTCCTTCATTCTCGTATTATCTGCAGGTCATATATTGATCAATACCGACAGGACTGAGTGCTGCCGGTCGACACGACGCTGACTACATACAAAAAAAAGAAAACACAACCGAAAACAGAGACAGATACATACTGCTGTAGCACGGTCAAGCGATGCCCGCACCAGCTCCAACCCCATCACCACCAACCCCCCCTCCGCTCACCACACCCGCACGGCCCGCGCAACCCTCGCCCTCCTCACGACCCTCTCCACCCTCCCGCCAAGCCCCTCCAGCGCCTGCTCCGCCGCCACCACCCCGCCCCAGCGCCGCATGGCCCCCGACAACTCCCGGCGCCGCCTGAGCCGTGCCAGGTGGCGGAGGGCGGTAGCCGTGGCCTCTCTCCACGACGCCTGACTCCGCCAACGCCACAGGGCCGCCGAGAGCATGCCGAGGTCGCGATGGCGGCACGCGATGGAGAGCCGTCGCAGTGCTCGGGACTGGGAGGGAGACGGGTCGGGGGGGCGCGGGGGGGGGGCCTGGTCCCGGCCTGGGTAGATGAAAAAGGGATATTCCTTATTTTGGGGGGGGGGGGGGGGGGGGGCCCCGCTGGGC